AAGTAAAATTTTCTTAAAGTAAAACAAATCCACAAATCTTAAGTGTATTATTCAATAAGTTTTGCCAAATGCATACACCCATGTAACTAAAACCTCTGTCTAGATATAGACTATTACTCTCTTCCCAGAAAGTTTCTTCATGCCCCTTCTTAGTCAATTCCCCATCACTGTTCTAATGTTTTTCACTAATCAATTAGTTTTACTTGCTCTAGAGCAAGGGTCCCCAACCTATGGTGAGTTGTATAATTCTTTCATTATATATTACAATGTAATAATGATAATAGAAATAAAGTGCACAATAAATGTAATGCACTTGAATCATCCCCAAACCATCCCCCATCTCACTGGTCCGTGGAAAAATTGTCTTCCATGAGAACGGTCCCTGGTGCCAAAAAGGTTGGGGACTGTTGTTCTAGTGCTTCATATGAATGGAGTCGTACAGTATTTACTCTTGTGTAAGGATTTTAAGATAATGTTTTTGTTTTTCATCTGGGTTGTTTTGAGTACAAGAAGTTTGCTCCTTTTAATTGTTGAGTATTATTGTATTGTAGGAATGTACTAATTTCCTCAACCATTTTCCTCTTGACAGACACCTAGGCTGTTTCTTTTTTTGGTTATTTTAAATAAATACTATGAGCACACTTGTAGAGATCTATTTGTGAATATGTTTTCATTTCTTCTGGCCAAATACCTAGAAATGGAATTGCCGGGTCATAGGCTAGATGTATGTTTAGTCTTATAAGAATCTTCCAGAACATTTTTTTCAAAGGAGTTGTATAACATTTTAACTCCCACCAACAATGTACGAGAGCTTCCATTGCTCCACATCATCCCCAACATTTGACAGGGCTCCAGTTAATGATACTCATGGTGAATTGATTAGGGGTAAAGTTTACTGATGTCTGCAACATCAGAAGAATAATGTGGATTGCCACCGGGGCAAAGGGATGGACAGACAGGTAGGTGTGCGATAAAGCAAGTGCTGTAACATGTTAATTGTAGAATCTAGGTGGTGGGTATTTATTAATACTTGATGGCTGAGCATTTACATACCCCCAAATAATGACATGGCAGTCTTTTTCATTTTAGCCATTCTGGCAGGTCTTTATCATATTACTTTCTGAATTACAAAATAAGAATATTCACAATAGAAAGAGGTTCCATTATCAAGAGGCAATTTAGGCAATATCTGTTTTTATGTCCTCCTCCTCCTACAGCAGTTCAACTTTCTTAAGCTATATAATTCAGTCATTAAATCTTGATTCTCACCTTTAAGGAGTTAACAGAGCAGATTCATAATTTGGCAATTATTGTAAATGTTTTTGGATTCAACTTGAGCTCTAAATCATTGGAAATTGGTTGAAATTAATTTTTAAGGTTTTTTATTTTAATACTAAGGTTTTGAAATTAATCAAAATGATAAGCTTAGCTCTCAATTTAGGCTTAATAGAAAAAATAAATAATCACAACCTAGTCACTAACTCATAAAATGTATTTGACTGAATTAAATGAGTCACTCTCAGAATGACTCCCATAAACCTAAACTTTGATTAATAAGAGTGGATCATTTATACAAAGCAGAAGTAATATGTGGCAAAGTTACCTCTAAGTGAAATTGCTTCCAGTTCTTGGAGGAAGTCCACAGGTCCAATTTTATTTTAATGTAAATGTTTTCTTCAATGTTATAATTTATCCCTAGGAAGTTTCAAGCTTTTAAATTGCTATTTTCTTGGCTTTTCCTCCATTCTCCAATGTTTCAGCTCTTCCTCATTTGTTTTGAAAATAACCTAAATGCACTTAATGCTTCTCAAAAATGTATTCCAGTCCACTGCTTGTAACAGTAAATATATCAGAACTCATTTGACATTTTTTCTGTCAATGAACTTTTATCAATCTATAACAATAATACATCTTAGAACTCTCAAGTGGAAGAAATAAATTGTATAGGCCTGAGATTTATGTAATTTGGTCTAGGCATCATGAAACTCTAACATAAAGATACTTTAGCTTTTCCACTGATCTTTAAATAGGTCCTTTCTTTCTCTATACTTCAATTTTCCAAGATATTAAAGGATAATGTATCAGTGTATGTATGAGTTTTTTAACCAGAAAATCTATGATGCAACTTTAGCATCAATTAATTTTTGTTAGGCAGACTGTATTTCTGGTAGCACCTATTCAGTTCCTTCCCATACTATTTATGAAGGGTGCAACTGTTCCACAGTTTCTAGAATCTCTATGGATTACAGAAGCATTAGAGAGATGGTACCCAAAGAAATGTTCTGAATTAAGCATTTTAATCTGTTTGATTTGCTTTTTCTCAGAAGCACTTAATATATTGCTTTCTCTCTCTTTCTCTTTCTAGCTGTAAAATAATAAATAAAATATAGTGGCTCTTAAAATATGTTAATATGGTAGGCATTTGTTTAAATTACATAAAATGTCATCTATATATGAAGTTTGCTTAGCTTTGGAACTAAGCCACTAGGGACATATTTTGTACTTCTGAAAATAAGAATACTCCATGGCTTAGAATGATACTGTGCTGGTTAATTGTCCCACTCATAAAATGTACAATGCATATAGCAGATTTATTATAGGGTTTTTTAAAATCTGCATATGAGCATTCATTTTGGCAGCACATACACTTAAATTGGAATGATACAAAGATTAGGATGGCCCCTGCACAAGGATGGCATGCAAATTCATGAAGCATTCCATATTTTGCAAAGTTAGTGTTAGATAGGAGGAATAAGTTCTGGTGTTCTTTTGCACAGTAGGGTGACTATAGTTAACAATAATGTATTTTATATTTCAAAATAGCTAGAAGATAGGATTCTGAATGGTCTCACCATAAAGAAAGGGTAAATATTTGAGGTGATGGACTTGCTAATTACTCTGATTGGATCATTACACAAGGTATACATGTACCGAAACATCACACGTACCCCATGGAGTAATCACTTTTGTTTTTTGATTAAAAGGAAAGAAATTAGTTGTTGAAAAAATACTATTCAATCTTATATGCAACTATTAAAACAATAGCATGTGTTGAATAAAGCAAACTAAGAAAAAGGGTAACATTTAGGGATAAGTTGGAAATGAAAGAAAGCCTAAAAGTGAACTCTGTCAAAAGTATAATTACAGTGTGTCAGTTAAAAATAAAATAAAACTCTGAATGAGCCACCAGGGCCAATGTTATAGGTAGGTGAAATAGGCAGCTGGTATTGGGATGATAAAACAGCACAGAAAAGACCTGCCTGCCTTAAAATATTTTCCCTCTAGCCTGCCTTTGGAATAAGACATTATCTTCAGATTTTTCTATGAAAATCAATGTATTATTAGATAATATGCCAAGATCACTTTTTATTATATGAACCACTAATGCCCATTATCTGTTCAGAATCTAGCAGGGCTGCGAGAGAATGGGACACAATCAGAGACATTTTGAAAGGTGTCAGATGATGTGAAATAATGAGAGGGTGTGTGTGGGGGTGGGTAGGTGGCGGGGTGGAGTAGGGTGAGGGAAACTCCAGGTAACAGGAGGACAGCTTGAGGGTGGAAGGTACCTGTGGGAGGAAGCTCTGAAAGAAAACCTGAGACTTTCCCCAGAGATACACTTGCCTCTGATACTGACTTAGGGCTGGACCTTTGGGACACAAATGAAAAAAGCAATGTCTTTTAACGTTCGGATAAAGCCACATTTTGCATGTGAGCTCTTATGAGGCACTTTGTTCCATCTGACATAGTAAAAGACATAGGATGACTATGCAGCCGTCACTGATACCAAGGCAAAGAATTTTGCATTTTCCTATGTTATATAAGCCATATGGATAGATATGCTCATCTACGAAGTGTTGAAAATGAAAACCAATTATCACTGTAAAGTGCTGTGTACGTACAAATTCTTTCTACTGTGATTCCAGAACTTAAAAATGAAGCCACTCTTTTTTGTCTGATAATTACCCCTGACATTTTGCCACCAACCCACTTTACAAAAGAATCAAATCCAAATGCTACATAATTTAATTAGATTTCATTGCATTTTAAAGGAATGGGGATAGAAGTAAAGGTAACACAACACATTAGGAATTCTGACAGAGTTCACTTTTAGGCTGCCTTTCATTTCTGATTTATCTCTAAACTTTACCCCTTGTCTTAGTTTGCTTTATTCAACACATGCTTTTGTTTTAATAGTTACATAAAATTGAATATTACTTTTTCAACAACTAATTTCTTTCCTCTTAATCAAAAAATAAAAGTGATTACTCCATGTTTTATCATATTCACATTGATATGGTTTGCTATATTTAACAGAAAAAGATTCAAAGACTTTAGAATACACTTTAGAGCATAAGTTCAGTGTTTATGTAGCTTTAGATTGTTAAGCATAATTATTAGAAATGTATTGCATTTCTTTTTTCATAAAATTTTAATTTTTTCATTAAAAACATGTGGCCTTTTGTAAATTAGCCATAATAAACAATAAAGGAATATCCTTCAGACTGAGACCAAAAACCTTGATAAAAATAATTTGTAAATTGGCTCTCTCTAATCATATTATGTTAGGGCCCTAGTATTAAAGAGCTGTCTTATAACTGGTAATTGAATAGCTCTTGTTAGTTTCCCTGAAAACAAGGGTTTTTAATCTCTTCTTGCAGCCTAGGAGATTCTTATGGTTTAAATATATTTTGCAAATTTGTTCCAACAGCTAAATTGAAAATGTCTGATATTTTCAATTACGTAAAGCATTTATGATTTTAAGCTCCCAGCAGAAGCCTGCTGCTGAAGGGGAAAAAAATTAAGAGCTGTTAGTCAGAAAGACACTTATGTAAGAATTGTCACATTGGTCATTGGTTTGAAAGCAGGAAGTCCTATATTTTAGGATCAAGGCTTTAAGGAATCTTTATTGAGCATTTTCCCCTCTCATAGCTGAGACAAATGGCTACTGAGTGAAATCTGGGGAATGTTCACAGCTTTTCTCTTTCATTCCATTACAGCCCAGAAGATGGTGAGATCCACCCAGAAATCTGTCGGCTTTACATCCAGCTGCAGTGCTGCTTAGAAATGTATACGACAGAGATGCTAAAATCCATATGTCTGCTGGGGTCTCTTCAGTTTCATCGAAAAGGTATCCACATTCAATATATTGCCAGAAACACTGAGGAATGTTCAACAAATACTATCTTTTGCATAGTACCTATGTACACTAAATGCCCATGTATACACAATTAGAATGAATTTAAATGTTCAGGAAATGTTTGATTTATAAATGAGTAAGAAGTCCATATCAGCACTATCTAAGTACACAAGAATACTAATTGTTTTGAACAGAAATTGTGATACAAACACCTCTCAATCATATTTATTATTTTACCACTTGTGAACATGACATTCATTAGAATCAGCATAAGCAGCAAAAATACATAAACGCTCTTACCAGGGGAGCAAATGCTGTTGAAGAGTGCTGCTGATTTCCTAAATAAACTATGTTGCAAGAAGACAAATTACATATCATGTCCCAAAGATTTAAAATCAAGAGGAAGGCATATTAGTAATAGATAATCTCATTCCCTGTCTTAAACCATAAAGGGAATATATTGGCTCAAATGACTATAGCCTCCAGGGTAACTTCAGCATGGTTTGATCAGATTTACGATTCCCATTCTAAGTGATGCCCTGCATTTGGGGTATTAGCTTTACCCTCAAGCTGTCTTCCCCCACATTAGCAAACTGATTGCCACAGTTCCTGTCATCACACTTGCACACCACACGGGCCATTAAGAACTCCCAACTATAGAGCAAAAGTCCTGACCTTCATTCTGATTGGACCAGGTCTATGCCTGAACCAATCACCGTAGATAGAGGCATGGAATTCCACTGATTGGTTAGGCAATCAAGGCCCATTCCTGGAGCTAGGGGTGGAGTCAACCCCAGCAAACCAGTGGCTATTACATGATGGGAGAGGGTGGAATGGGATGGACACTGGAGCAGAAGCCAAAAGTTTCTATTACTGGAGGATTCAACCCACACTTTCTTTCTTAATTTATTAAATAATAGTTTATTGGGAACTTCTCAAATATAAACTTTTTATGCTTGAACTCAGGAGAATAGGGCAGTGCATTGAAAGCATTCCTTTCCTATGATTTAAATGCAGAGATAGAAAATGTCAGTGAACTTAGGAATACTCAGGGAAAATCTTAGGGTTCTGAAGCTAGAGTTCTGTTAGAGAAGGAAAAAGAAAGATATTTCAGGAAGAGCTCGGTGGCTCACGCCTGTAATCCTAGCACTCTGGGAGGCCTAGGCAGGCGGATTGCTCAAGGTCAGGAGTTTGAAACCAGCCTGAGCGAGACATCATCTCTACTAAAAATAGAAAGAAATTAATTGACCAACTAAAAATATATATACAAAAAATTAGCCGGGCATGGTGGCACATGCCTGTAGTCCCAGCTACTTGGGAGGTTGAGGCAGGAGGATCGCTTGAGCCCAGGAGATTGAGGTTGCTGTCAGCTAGGCTGATGCCATGGCACTCACTCCAGCCTGGGCAACAAAGTGAGACTCAGTCTCAAAAAAAAAGAAAGATATTTCAGGTGAAGAAGCAGTTCAAGTAAAGATTTGAAATCAAACAAACATTGCAATTTGAGGGTAACTAAAGAACATGATGAAGTACTTGTACAAATCAAGTCTTGTGTACACATGTATATAAGCACACGGTAGGACTAAAAACGAGATTATGCTTTGTTACTCCAGAGACAGAACATTTTTCTTAATATTTGAACATTATGTCTTGCTCCTCTTGCCTTCTAAAGGCTATTCGGTCAAAGGTTCCCATATTAATATAAAAGAGATTAGCTCCTTGACACTCCTAATGCCAGAAAATTGAATACTCAGACACACTCATGACATCCAAACAGATGTCATTGGCCCAATGTCTTTACCTCTCTGTCTCTGTCTCTCTCTCTGACACACAAACATACACACACACACACACACACACACACACACACACAAATACACATACAGAGTAGTATTTCCATTCTTTTTAATGATTAAGTAGACTGGGTATAGGTATTTTCATTCCCAGGTCTGCATTGGCTACACCTGCAGTATGTCATGTCTTGTTGCCACGAGAATCTTTCCTGTTGATGGCATGTCCTTAATGCCCAGTGACCTTCACTTCCACTCAGCTCTAACTCCTTGGTATGCCACCTGGTCTCCTTCTGCCATTCACTCCTACTTTTTATCTTTTTACAACTGACTTTTGAAAGGAAAACTCTTCTCAGCTAGCTCTCTGCTTAAAATTAAAAGGAATTTCCTCATCCAAATTGCTTCCTTGTTGCATTTGGTCATTTCACACAAATGAAAATAAAATAAAAAAAAAAAGAAAAGAAAATCATATCACCCCTTAACTGATCAGCTTATTTGGTCTTCACTGACTCCTGGCTTCATTGTCAGTCTCTGCTCTGCTTCCTTCCCTGCTTCTTTTTAAAAAATAACTAAATAAATCCCTGCCACCTGTTTTACTGCCTCACCTTCTACATATAACTCTTAAAAAGAAAATACCTGATAGCATCTTTGATTTCTCTCCCATGTAGGATTAAATCTTCACTTGGATTTCTCTCTTTTTCTAAAATCATTAATATTTAATACTTAAAGTATAATCTTTAGAAAATCTGCTTTAAAATTATCCAGGATGCTGGATAGACATACAGACTTTTGGATCCTATCCAAGGACCTACTGAATTCAAATCTCTGTGGGCACTCCTGGTGATTCTGAGAATTGAGAACTGCTGCTCTATCTTTTGAAACAAAAAACTATATCACACCCCATGTCCCACATATGAATAAAAAGAAAAACTTCCAAGCCCTTACCACCACGCCTTTCTCCTCTGCTATTCTCTACTCCCCTAAGTGCATGCTTTCAACATCGCTTTGTACTTTCCCCCATGCTGATGAAAAGCAAATACAGAAGTGGTAGGTGCCTCTGATGAATGTGAGCTGTATGATGGCTCATACAGCATGTTTCTTCCATGAACCCTTGACATGACCACTGAAATAAGCAGTGTTCTCAAAGTGTAGTCCCTGAACTAGCAGCATCAGCATCCGAATCACTTGTTAGAAATGCAAATTCTGGGTCCCCACCCAGATCTACTAGATGAGAAACTTCTCTAAAGTTACTTCTTTTATTGCTAGAAGAAAATTAAAAGAGCAATTCATTGGGGCATTTATTCAACTGAATGTATTTGTAGCCATCTGTAATCATCAAACCATAATTCTTTACTATTTTTGAAACTATGTATATACCATGCACTCCTTGCAAGCCTCTGTGTTTCTGGAATGCACGTCCAAGAGCCAGCTGTCCTGTGGATGGTTACGTTTGTCCCAATAGAGTCAAGGCAATGAGGAGGAGACTTCTTTATTGGTGAGAAGTTCTCAGTTAATCTAAGAGGAAAGAAAATAGAGATACGTAAGATTAAAAAACAATACTGACGATAGAGATAAGTTGCTAGCAGTAAGCACAAGGGGAAATGTCATTAAATAAAGCACTAGAAAATATATACATGAAAACATACACTAGACAAGTTTCCTAGAAATTTCTGGAATGTCAAATAAAATACTAGCTCTTAGGGGAACGATTGTTCCATTAAGGAAGTCATTTTTAATTTTCCAGTCCTATATTTACATGATACACCCTCTCTATTTCTTCATTCCCTCCAGTAATTTATTCATTACACCTAAGGGATTAACTATATTATTATTTTGGACTCCTCGCTTGTTTGTACTGTGTGCTTATTCATATTTCCACCATCAGGATAGCATAGAAAATGTCAGCTGGTTTTGCTTCTTTTTGTTCTTTCTTTGGTTTCATTGGAAACTGTTGAGTAACCTGCCTATGCCCAGAAACCCCAGCTCATACACAAGTGTATGAAATCTGTTGCTGACTCCTTGGGAGGTCCTGGTTGGAAAAACTAAGGGTACTTGGCTCCAGGGACCACAGACTGCCAGAAATAAGTTTGGGAAGAAATAGGTCCACAGACCACAGCACGAGAGTATTAAATTTTAAGAGAAGAGTTGGATAAATTATGTGTCTTGCACTTAAAGCTTAGAGACCCTACTCATAAAAGTAGACAGAGAAGAGTCAGCAAGCCTGAGAAACCTTACTATAGCATTGGAATGAAAGGCAAACACTTCATCCTCATGAAAGCAAGAAATGGGGAAGGGATGGGGAGGAAGGATTGCTAATGTGACCCAAGGCATTGAGTAAAGATGTGTGATTAAGGAAAAATAGGTATAAACTCTAAGTGAGCAGTGAGTAGGCACTGAGGTATAGTTGATTCCAGATATCAGGCAAGGTGATAGAGGTGACAGGGGAAACATAGATCAAGAAATCAGTCTCTTTTCCCCAGGATTGATATATATACATAAATATGATATGAATATTTATATTTATATGATTTTTATATATATCTCATATCTTAGCAAAGAAAGGACCATTTATCCACTAGAAGGAAGTCTGTCTGCCAAGATTTAACATGCCACACTAGTTTTACAAGATAATGTACTCTTTATCCAAACAATGGTACCTCTAGTGGCTTTGGGCTAGGGAATGAGTCTGTCTGGCTGACTTCACTACATCCTTCCCTTGAGAAATCAAATAGTCCCCCAGAGTCTTAGGGGAATATTGATTCCCATTCTCATCTGGAACACTCAAAATCTCTATCTTCCTAGAATCTCTGTCTGGTTTGTTTCTTTTAATGCTATAACAAAAATTGATATTTTAATAACCATTAGGTAAGCTTATTTCTTTTCTTCCTGTGTGAGTGCTAAAAGGTTTACCATTCTCCTTTTCTTTAGCATTTCTTTTCCATCAAGGAAAAGAAAGGGGTTGCAACTGAGTCAATAAATTTGGCTCTATATGAGAATCTCTGGTCAATTTTTTATTGGGATTAGATACTGAAACCAAATTATTTCACAGTAATCTGTACATTTAATTTATTTTATGTCTCTCCACCTCCCTGGCTGCCACCAGATGTGCAGATAGTATTGTATATCTCAGTTTCGTTATTGTATTGAGCAGTCATGACATGAGTTTACTCTTTGGAGAGAAAGGACATACAAGGTCATTAGAGC